TTATCATCAAATTTATTTACTGCAGAGAAAATATTTGCACCTGAGTCAGTAACTAGTGCAAAAATCTTATTATTGATTGACCATTCACTGAAGATTTCGTTTAACGTATTAAATAAATATTCAGCTGTTTTCATTTCAGACATAAACTTAAGATCCAGGTTTCGGTCAACTAGAGTCATATTTTTGTCAATAAAATGACAAGTCACACCGAGGTAGCTGTTTTTACCTAATGATGACCAACTATCACAAGTAATTGTAATGAAACGACATCCCTTCAATTCTAGCATTAAAATTGATTTAAGATTGTCCGTACTTGATGGAATTAATTTCTTGCTCACCGTATTTATGCAAGGCATTTTGTAGCTTTTGTTTAACTCACTAACTAAGTTTACAAAGTCTGGATGACGTACTATCGAAATCGGCTGATCGGTACCAACAATAAAATTCACCAATAACCTGTTTAATTTTTTATGACCAGTCTCTTCAAAACCATTCTCATTACCGTTCTCAATATCGGATATATCGTCATCGTTGAGTGAAGTTGTTGATTTTTTTAGATATTTTAGAATTAATGCAATGATCAATTGATAAATGGGATTGCATTGAACTGGTCGAACTGTTGTAAGGTAAAATCTTATAACATATGCTGCATTTTGTTTGATTCTTTTGGTCCATTTCGAAATATGTCCAAACGAAGCTTCGTTTTCTTATTCCTTTCTTAATAACGGATTTATTTGTTTTTGACATTGTTTATTCAAACTAAAAAGCGAGTAGTTTTTTTACTCGTTCGTATGTAACAAATATTAACAAATTAGTAACTTATGATAAAATAAATTTGTACCACATGTTACTTCACTTACGTTTCCGAGATATTAATGAGATTGTTATAACTTTAATATAAAATTACACCATTTTTAGAATTATGTAACACAAAAATCGCAAAGGCATAAGCCGATTTGAAACCGTTGCAAATCTCTAAATAACCACTAGAAAGTAATTAGCCGTTTACATTGCATCAATGATTTCATGTCATGCGTTTAAGACCTCAAGGGAATTGCCGTTGAGGAATAATAATGACTTATGTGCGTGCTGTAAACTATGCGTTCTTAGAAGGGACTGTCAAAATTTTATATTTCTTGTTTAACCAGATAATCTTTATAGGATTTTAGAGAAAAATTCGAAAAATAATTTAGTTTTTGCTAATTTTTTTAAGCTGACCTTCTACTTTATTTTTAAAAATTTACAGATATTAAAAATAAAATTCCTTACAGACTCTTCTAAAGTGTCTAAAGTTACGCAACTTTTCTTTCAAATTTACTTTGATTTTTAAACGTTGTGTTTTCGAAATAAAAAAAGTATTTTCAAAAGAAATTTTTATGCAATCAAAACGACGCGCAAAAAAAACTTTTTATTTTTTTAACGCTATTCAAGCTATCAAAAAGGCTATTCAAGCTTTTGGTGAGGGTAAATATAATCCCTAAAAATAATTTTATAAAAGTAAAAAGTCATGAAGCTTAATCTAATCAGGCGAGAGAGGTGAAGGGGAAGGTATTGTTTGTCCCGGGCAGCAGATCTCCATGGGGCAAATTCGGTAAAAGGCCCTCAAAAATTTGAAAAAGACCCCCTAAATTTGTCCCCCCCCCCCAATTAAGGAGGAGCGTGGGGAGCCTATCCACGGCTGTGAGTATATCCTTGCTTTTTGGTAGCAGTTTCTTTTAAAAAGTAGCAAAAATAGTATTATTTTCTATATATTTAGAGTAAGTTTTTAAAGTAAAGTTTTTAACAAAATACCCAAGAAACAAAATTGAATTGTGCTGCTCAATGTTATGATTTTGGTTTGTGAAGGGGGGGGGGGGGGGGGGAAAGAGTTAAATTGTTTTCACAAATTGGCCCCTCCTTATAAGTTTTTTCTGAATTGACGCCACTGTTTGAGCCCAATCTGGAAAAATAAAAACTCTACGTCTATGGACTTATCAGTGCAAACAATACATATAAACCCATATATTGGTCAGATGTCTGATGTTACGCTTTGGCAATAATACTTGCGCTGCTCAGCAATACTCGTTTTACGGCTAGCCAGGACTGGCATTTCAGAGAGCCATTATCAAACCAGTGTATATAGCGTTTACACTAAAAAAGTCATTAGGGCCCCAAAATTTAAAAAAACCTGTTACTAAAAATAAAAAAGCTCCCCAAAGTGTCACAAAATCCGAAACCACGCTAGGCTTAAATATGTGAGGTGATTTGCGAACGATCCCTGAGTTATTATTAAATTAATTGCAGATTCTTCTATAAAATAGTGGGAGGTAGTTAAACCCTTTTCTCTGGCCGTAACACCAAAAATTTTAAGTATTATTTTATGTTAATTTTTAAAATTTAATTATTTATAAAAATATTTTAATAAAATTTTGTACAATTTCAGTAATAAAATAAATATAAGCAAATTTTAGAATTTAATAGTAATATTGTTTAATATTTTCAGAATTTCGATATCACAAAAATATTTCGAAGCAAATTTTACAATTTCGAAAGAAAAAAATTTTTTCGGTAATATTTTCCGATTTTCGAAATCGCAAATATATTTCGAAGCAAATTTTACATTTTCGAAAGTAAAAAATTTTTTCGGTAATATTTTCCGATTTTCGAAATCGCAAATATATTTCGAAGCAAATTTTACATTTTCGAAAGTAAAAAATTATTTCGATAATATTTTCAGAATTTCGAAATCGCAAAAATATTTCGAAGCAAATTTTACAATTCCGAAAGTAATAAATTATTTCGACAATATTTTCAGAATTTCGAAATCGCAAAAATATTTCGAAGCAAATTTTACAACTTCGAAAGTAAAAAAATCGTTTCGATGCAAAATTAATTACTTTAAAATTATTTCGAACTTACCGAAACGAAAATAGAGTTTCGAAAACTTTTTTTTTAATCGAAAATTTAACTTTGGCTTTCGTGAACAACCCTAATAATATGCTTACAAAATCATGCTAACTCCACATAAAAGAATTCGAATATTTTGTAAATCGCCTTAACTACACCGAGTTTCCTACGTTATGCCGATGTAATTTTTCTAGCTGATATAAAACACGTTGGTCCGACGTCGGGCCTACGTGTTCATGCTATCTGGGTATATATATATATATATATATATATATATATATATATATATATATATATATATATATATATATATATATATATATATATATATATATATATATATTTTTTTTTTTTTTTTTTTTTTTTTTGCCGTGTTAATATATACAAAGTGTATGTTAATAACAAGATATATATGTAGCAGGGGCGAGAAGAAGACTATTATGTCTTATCGCCAAGCCCCTTGATAAATTCCGTAAATATAAAGTTTAATATAAAAATAAGCATTTCCGTTGACAATATAAAATAAACAAACGTAAAATTGGTAAAGTGATAAATAAAACATATCATTAAAGAGCAAAAAATAAAAAGGAAAAAGAACAACAACGCATATTAAAACAACAAAAACATAAATAAATTTGAAAAGTCAAAAGCGCATTCAACTCAAGTGTTTCTAATATTAATATACTCCTCATTTAATTGATAGATCAATCATAAGGATATTTTGCTTTTTTAGAAATAGTTTTGTTGTAGATCATTTTTTAGTAATAATTGTCTAAGTTCAGCCTTAAACTCTTTTAACAATGTAAGAGTTTTAAGTTCAGATTTTAGTAATTTGTTCCATGCCTTTGGTCCTCTAATTGAAATTGAAAACTCAGTTGCCGCATAATAACTTATGGGTTGTATGTAGGTGTTACTTGAATGTCTAGTTAAGTATTTATTCTGACTAGTTTTGAATAAGAAATCAAAAGTTTTTGGAATAACACTTTTATTAATTTTAAACATAAAAATTAGAAGATGATAAATATTTAATTGGTAGATATTTAGTATATTTAACTTAAATAAAGGTTGGGAGGGTGTACTGCGGTTTCCCTTACAAAAAAACCCAGCGAACTTCCAGCGAAAGTTCGCTGGAAATTAAAAGATCACTGGAAATTTACTAAGATCACTGGGTTTTCGCTGGATTTCCATGGAAACTAAAGACTTCGCTGGAAGTTCGCTGGAAATCCAACGAAAAACTTCCAGTTATCTTAAAGTTCGCTGGAAGTTTACTGGGTTTCTTGCGAAATATTTCGCGGTGATGTAAAAAGCGTTGCTGTTACAACTTCTGCAAGCAGTTAAAACTTGGAAAATTGATAATATAGCTTCTTAAAATAATATTTCAAATTTTTGTATAAAAGTAATCCTTTTTATTTTATTTTTTGCATCTAATAGATGATGTTGTTAAAGATGTGTGAGTTTCAATTATTATTAGTTCTACTCAAGTTACAAAACAAAATCATCTGGTATGTTGCTCAAAATGTTTATTTCTCTTAAGTATTGTTTATTATGCATTCGCTTTATGCGAATGCATTTTATTTATTAAATTCAACTTTATTATTTTATAAAAATAATTTTTATAAATGTCTTTATGATTAAGTATTTTATATTAAAAATAATAAATAACAATTTGTTTCACTCTCTCGCTGAAAGAGAGGGATATATAATATATATCCCTCTCTCTCTCAGTATATATATATATATATATATATATATATATATATATATATATATATATATATATATATATATATATATATATATATATATATATATATATATATATATATATATATATATATATATATAATATGTTAGTGTATTCTACAAATAGAGTTTCTGGTCCAGTTTTAAAAAACCAAACATGCAATTATTTTTATCTTGTTTTGTTGATTTTTTACTAACCTATCCACTACTGGTATACTCTTATCTAATAATGTTCGTGTTTTTTTTCATGTATCTATTTTTTTGTGTGATACAATTGCAGGAGCTATGGTTTTTTGTTGTAGGTAGTTTAATGATTATAATGGTTGCCATTGGTGTTCTTCTCAAGGGGTAAAAGTTAAATAAAGGTAGGAGGTCTTGTATGACTTATCCATTTTCTGATGTTAATGGGAGTTGTAGAAACCATACAGATTTTTTTTGGATTAATGTGATTAAAGGGTTTTTAGATTTTTCTACATTTGTAAGAGTACCTAATTTTAATTGTGAAAATGGAACAGTTGTTAATAATCTGCACTGTATTGAGCTTGGTGTTATGAAAGCTATGTTTTCTTTCTGATTTGATAGTTATTATTCTGGTTATATTTTTTCTATTAGAAGACACTGTACTGTTGTAAATAATCTTTTATCTGCAATCAGTGTGCCAAGCAATATAAGACAGACTCGATGATCATTAAGTTGTATAAAGCATTGGTAAAAGGTATCGAGTTTTTTACTTTTTTAGTTTTTTATGGTCCTGTTATTTTATGTGATGTTTTGCCTCCTCAGTTTTTTGACCATTTTACTCTTTTATCTAATATTGTTTTTACGTTGAACAATAAGGTATTATCTGAAAGTGTAATTAATGAAGCCACATTATTAGTTAATAGATTTTTTTATGAGTTTTCTGATTTGTATGGTAAAGAAAATATGTTTTATATTAAAGAGTTTTTTTAAAGCAGTTATATATATACAAAGCTTTTTTTAAAGCAGGTATTATATTTTAATGCAGTTTTTATTTAAGTAAACTAAAATCTCTCTCTCTCTCTCTCTCTCTCTCTCTCTCTCTCTCTCTCTCTCTCTCTCTCTCTCTCTCTCTCTCTATATATATATATATATATATATATATATATATATATATATATATATATATATATATATATATATATATATATATATATTATATATATATATATATATTTATATATATATATATTATGTATGTATATATATATATATATATATATATATATATATATATATATATATATATATATATATGTATAAATTTTATACAGTATTTATTATATGTTTTTATAAAATTGTTATTGATGTCCTTTAAATATTGTATAAACCATCTTTTTTTTTTAGCTTTAAAGACCCAAACGAAAATACTTTTAAAGTCAATTTTCGCAATTCTGTTTGTTTTGTTATGCTAATTTGTCAGTAGAGAACCAACAGACCACTGACTTCATAATTTTTCCATCTAAAATTATACTAAAATATCCTAATAAATACAATTTGAATTAGATGATATAAGTTATCAGAGAAAGTAAACAAAGTACACTTATTCAGAATAAAAAATGTAACTACTGCCATTTGGTTCTCGACTTTTTTGAAATGGGCTAAAAAACATGCTTAAGCATCATATTGCCTATAAGATATACTTACTGCAATATTTTTCTTTTTCACTAATATACAGGTTTAAGTTTTGCTTTATAATGACTATTATGTTTTTTACAGATTTAAATATCTATATCAGTACAGAAAAGTAGAGCTGTAAGATTTTTTGTTTTGTTGATTTAAACAGTTGAAAATTTAAAAAAAAATTAGTTTAAAAATTGTAAAGTTCCTTATAAAAAAAACAACAGAAAACTTCCAGTGAAAGTTTGCTGGGTTTTTAAATTAAAATTATTTAGTTATTATAATAATTGATTATATATATATATATATATATATATATATATATATATATATATATATATATATATATATATATATATATATATATATATAATTAAGTTTTTATTATTTTATCTATAATTATTTTTTTTATGCAGGATAAAAGTGATAAAATGCTATTGGTTGGAAATTGATAAATTAATAAAAAATGATTGATTCTAATTGCGCGAAAATATGTTGGTATGTTTTTATCTATCTTATACTGTTTTATTTTTGCTTATCATTTCACATTTTGTCTTATTTTGAATATTATGTTTTATATAATTATTAGTTAGTGTTTGTAAAACACTAACTAATTTTGATTGCTTTTAGATTTTGGATACTGCCTCTACCATTAACAAATTAAAAATAAAAGAAGCACTTCATATTAAATGGGAAAATCCTAAATATAAATTTATCTAACTAACTTACTACATTATTATTGTTATTTTAATATTAGGAGGTTTATTTTGTCATAATTTGTAATAAAATTTTTAATTGATTTGTAGCAAGTTTATTTGTCCATTAATTTTTTCTCTGTATTGTCTTCAGTTTTTAAATTTATTTACCAGAATATATATATATATATATATATATATATATATATATATATATATATATATATATATATATATATATATATATATATATATATATATATATATATATATATATATATATATATATATATATATATATATATATATATATATATATATATATATATATATATATATATATATATATATATATATATATATATATATATATATATATATATATATATATATATATATATATATATATATATATATATATATATATATATATATATATATATATATATATATATATATATATATATAGAAAGTCACTTAATAGAAAATTTTTTAAAAGTTTTCGATGTAACAGTGTAAAATGAAAAAAAATTTTTGTTAAGTAATTTTCTACTTATTTATAATTGCTCTGTTCTTTTAAGAACATTGAGCACTCTATTTTGTAGAATACATTTTGAAGATTGTTTAAATATATATATATATATATATATATATAATATATATATATATATATATATATATATATATATATATATATATATATATATATATATATATATATATATATATATATATATATATATATGTTATTTATTTATTGTATGCATTCTTTTTTTTTTTCTTTCTTTTTTTTTTTAGCTCTAAAGACCCAAACCGAAAAGAATGCCTAAAGTGGTTTTCAAAAGATGAATTGACGAATTTCTTAATTCTTTTTGTTTCGTTGTGATAATTTGTCGTATGAGAACGCTAACGAGAAAAAACTTTTTAAATATAGAAACATGCGTAATATAAAGTTTACTTATGCCTATAAAAAAATATGTTTTACATTAATTAATAAATTAACTTTTTAGTTTCTTGTTAAAAATTGTATTCTGTATTGAAGTTTATTTCTGAGAATTTGTAATTATACCTAAGATAATCTAATCCTACATTGTATTTTAATTTATAAAACTCGATATTTTAAAATAAATATATTACTTTTTTATCGCGCTTAACTTCTCTTATTTCGCGTTTATTGGTTAAGAAAAATTTAAAATGTTTATAAACTTTTGAAACTTTTATAGCAAAAATAAAAAATCTTTTTTAAAAAAACTTCCAGCGAATCTATTTTTATACATAAACATGAAAATTCGCTAGAAAAGTTCACTGGAAGTTCGCTGGGTTTTGGAACAAGTTCGCTGGAAATTTCCAGCGAACTTCCAGTGATCTTTAAAGATCACTGGAAAAGTTCGCTGGAAGTTCGCTGGGTTTTGGAACAAGTTCGCTGGAAATTTCCAGTGAACTTTAGAGATCACTGGAAAAGATCACTGGAAGTTCGCTGGGTTTTGGAACATTTTTTCACTGGAAGTTCGCTGGGTTTTTTTGTAAGGGTTTTATTGGATATAATTCTGATTGCATGTTTTTGCATATAAAAGAGTTTTTTTGATTTATTTTTATTGGTACTACACCATTTAATATTAACGTATTTAAAATAGGAATGAATAAAAGAAAAATATAAGAGTTTTAAACAACTTGAATTCAAAATAGGTTTTGCCCTATAGAGTAGGCCAATGCTACTTGATATTTTACCTTCAATATATTTACTTCAATATATTTACTTCAATATATTTACTTCAATATATGATTTCTCCATGTTACATTTTCGTCGAGGAGTACTCCTAGAAATTTTAATGATACCTCTCGTTTTATTTTTCAATTGTTAATACAAAGATTTGGAAGTTTTAATTGGAATTTTGTCTCGTTCATGATAGCGGTGGAAAAAAGTATATTTTGTCTTACTAAAATTTATAGATAATTGGTTTGCTTTAAACCAATCAGCAAAGTATAGTAGTTCTGTGTTTACATTTTTAAATAACATTTTCAATCATTGTGAGCATAAAATAGATTAGTATCATCTGCAAACAAGATTGTGTCTAATACATTACAAGATTTGCTTAGATCATTGATATATACTAGAAATAAGAGCGGTCCTAGTATAGATCCTTGTGGTACTCCACAAGATATATTCATGTTGTTAGTTTTTCCGTAATTATGAGAAATATATTGCTGTCTATTTGACAGATAGCTTTTAAACCATTTAAGGTTCGAGTGTTTAATACCGTAGTTTTTTAATTTTGTCTTTTATACATAATATATTCTAATATTTTTTGAGAAGCATGGTAGTGTTGAAATAGGTCTATAGTTTGCAATACATGTTGCATCTCCAGATTATATATATATATATATATATATATATATATATATATATATATATATATATATATATATATATATATATATATATATATATATATATATGTAAAATAATTTTAAAAGAACAGATTTATTTAAATCTAATATGTTGCTTTTATTTGTTTGCAACAATTTTATTTATTGAAAATGTTAACCTGCATAATTTTTATATATAAAATTATTTTTTTGTTATCTATTTATCCATATAGGTTAAAATTGAAACATTTACTGTATTAGGCATCCTATACTTTTTAATAATTTTAAATTTAAGTAACATTTAAAATGAGACTATTTTCAGAGACAGGTAACATTTTTGATGAAAAGAACTTGTTTGTTGCCCAAAACTGGATAACAACTCTTTTTGCACCGCAATATTCTTAAACTTCTAGAAATCCTTACATAATTGATTACTGCAAATAAAATTACATTGTGTTTCTTGAGAAACTTGCATTTCTTACCTAGGTTTACCTATAACGGGTGATGCGGAAGTTATCGGACAAATCTGAATTTGATTATTCAAGCATAATAATTTGTTTTTGTGGTTTTATGAGTAGGCATAAACGTTCTATAAAATATAAACTTTACTATTTGAAACACAATTATTTAAAATGAGGTTAAATTCAGCTGAACGAGTATCTTTTCTGAAGCGATTCTAAATGTTTTTTTGTAAATAAACCTAATATAAAAAAATAAAAAAAAAGAAATCATAAATTATTTTGAAAAGGAAGGATTTGCTCGAATTACAATATATGATAACCTAAAAAATCTTGAAACTGTTCAATCCTTTTCTGACAGAAAGCATTGTTTTTTAATGAATATTTTAACAGGATATATACATTTTAATTATATAAAAAAACTGCTATCAATGTGTGTCCTGAAAAAAAATTAAAATTAGTATAACAATAAAAAAATATATGTGACTAAAAGTATAAAATATAAATATAATAATATTAACAAATTTTATAAAAAGTGATTTAAATAAAGTTATGTTTTTTGCACTTATTGCCTCTTTTGTTAAATTATTGTAAAAAACAGCGCCTGCGTAATAAAATGACTTTTTTGCACATTCAAATTTTATCTTTGGAATAAAGGCGAGTTTCCACTCATCCGTTTTTCAACGGGAACGGGGTAGGAAAGGAAAAAATAATCACGTGAGCATGCGTAATAAAAGTTTTTATTTGTCCAAAAGAAAACTGCGCATGCTCACGTGACTATTTTTCTGTTCCCTTTCCCTTTCCCGTAGAAAAAAGGATGAGTGGAAACTCACCTTAACAACAGAAAGATTATTGTTGCGTGTTTGTTTTGAGTGTTTTTGTTATGTAAAATAGTTTTTGAAATTGCAACTAGGGATGGCACTTTTACTTACTTTTTTTTTACTTACACGAGTAAGTAAATTTTTTTGAAAAAGTTTATTATGTAAGTAATTATCACCGTTCAAATTGAATTTACGTTTACAAAAAAGTAATTAATTTTTATGAAAAAGTTTTTTTACTTTCAAAAGTAACTTATGTAAAAACAGATTAATCAAAAAGTAATTTACTTTTACAGGTAAAAGTAAGTCTCATAAAAAAGCAATTTACTTTTACATGTAAATATTAATTACTTTTTTTACAAATTACTTTTTTAAATTACATTACATAATTTAACAGTTCCTCAAAATGTAATTTACATTTACATTTAAAATTATTTATAAAAAAAAAATTGTATTACCGTAATTGTTTATTTATTTATTTATGCTCCTTGAGATTCAACGCCATGTTGAATCTATTATGAGCCATTGCTATTAACAGTTTCATAATAGTCATAGAGATCAGAGTTTCATAATAACCATATGTTTATCAAGCTTGTCCTTGAAGATATTTAGGGGAACCTGTTGTACCTTTGACCACGTTGTACCTTTGGTCACTCTACTCTGTCGGCTTACTATTATTATTTTCAAAAAACGTGAAGTGCCATTTGAAACAATAGTCCATGACAACTCTTCTTACCGTAAAACATCATACTTGGGATAAATGGTATTGATCCACAAGTAATTATAAGTTTTGGCTCTTAAAAAGTAAATGTTTGTGTTAATTTTAAAAATGTGATAAATTGTTGTTTGATTCATCTACGACATTATAAATATTTTCTAACATCATTTTTTTGTTATGGAAAAGTTTGGATGGTTATGTCTGACCGTAAATGGGGATTAAGACGATAATTGATAAAGAAACCCATCTCGTGTACCTTTGACTAGACTAGAAAGTTGTACTTATGACCGACAAAAACTGTTTCCTTGTTAATTTGCGGACTTTAAGAGCGCAAATTTATAAAGTTTATATCTACTTTATTAGGCGTCTGTACTCTATTGCTTTTTAATGCAAAATTGTTTCTAGTATAATGGTAATGAAATAATTCCATTGAATTTTAATGCAATTATTTATTTATTCTTGGACCACTACTACATTTAGAATAATCAATTTTGTTAATTTAGTTAGTTGGATAGCTGAAGCAATGTTATTATCAAGTTCATTTTATTACCTAATTTCTGCACAGCTATAGGGATTTAAATGTATAAAAATAGTTAATTCTGTTAATTTATTTTAGTCTTAAAATGCCAAGGAGCAAGGTTGGTGTTTTTCGCCAAAAGATTTCCGAAACGGGGTTGTGTTTAGATCATATCCCATTCGGAACGATTATTTTTATTTGCGTATTTTGCCGAACAACATTTAAAAATTTTACGGAGCAATATTAATAACAACACAAGACACGTGCCTTGTTTGATAGATATATTATTATTTGTTACTAAAATTACTTTATTACGTGGTCTTTATTTCGTTAACTTCATTGCTTTTACAGTGGGTTACTCTATTAATTCATGGATGTAATAGTTCTTTAAGGTTAGCGTTTCTTTCATATACATAATTCTTAATAATATAATATCAATAGTTATATATATATATTGACAATTTATATTTTAAATAATTTAAAAAAATATTTAAATATTTAAAAAAAATAAATATACATAATTCTTAATAATATAATAACAATAGTTATATATATACAGTATTATTATAATATTGTATATATATAACTATTGTTATTATGTTATTAAGAATTATGTATATTTATTTATTTTTAAATATATATATATATATATATATATATATATATATATATATATATATATATATATATATATATATATATATATATATATATATATATATATATATATATATATATATATATATTTAAAAAGTTAATGCTCTTGTTCAAGTATTCAAAGAAAGAAGAAATAGTGGCCCCTATTACAAATTTGCTTTATTTTCATCACTAAAGTGATGAAACTAAAGCAAATTTGAATATCCGTTTTTATTGAGTTTCCGTTCACAATAAAAATTTCAAAAATGATTCAGCTATTGATCCAAACGCCTTTTTACATGAAACTAAAAGAGTCAATTGAGAAAATGTTGCTTGCTGATAAAGATGTTAATTTAGCCCAATGGGCTCGCATCTTAGTCCAAAATCATTGGCCTGAAAACATAAACACTCAGGTGACATTTGGAGAAACTGAAATCAGAAACCTGTCATTAAGACTACAGTTAAATAAAAGAGAAATGATTCGTTGATTTTGTGAATACCTTGCAGAACAAATATATCCTGAAAATTTAGTTTATTTAGCACACACTCTACGTACTATCCCCATTTCCTCAAGTAAATGCGAATGAGGGTTTTCACAGATGAGTCTAATCATCACGCAAACAAGGGCTTCATTAATGACAAAAACAGTTTCAATGTTGTTATTCATAAAATTAGTGAAACCACCGCTAACAAGCTTTGATCCTTCAAAGTACGTTGATTCATGGTTACTTAGCGGAAGGCATTCAGCATTAGACACTAAGAGCAAGGAAAGGAGATAAGAGGATATGTACAACGAAAATTTGAAAAAACTATGGGATTTGTTATAGAAGTTTATAGTTTTGTAAAGTTTGTATTTTATATACAGTGACATGACCCATCACTCTACTCATCCCCTACCCAAAAAAAAACTGTCATTTAAAAAAAAGCTTCATTTATTGGAAAATGGTTTCTTATATTTGTTCCCGCCTTTATGGATATGATATGCAGGGGAGCCTACCAAAGGTTATATATATAAAATTTATTCACTAATTAAATTACTGATTTCTGCCTTATTTTTGAAATATAAAGGAAAATATATATATATATATATATATATATATATATATATATATATATATATATATATATATATATCAAATGAATAACTATTAAATAAAATTTAACAACATCTTTCATCAATATCAATTGATATCATCAGGTAAAAAAAAATTACAATTTCTATATACAAACAATTTATTTAGCTGCATTAAAAATTTAATAGTTTTACAATAGTTACCATAATTACATTTTATAAGATAAATAATTACTGTCTGGTAGTTTCACCAATGTATTCAGCATTACAGCTGGAACAAACAAATTTATAGACAACAAAGGATTTTAAATTTAGAGGTAAGGGGTCTTTTGATGAAAGCATACTACTTATTTTAAAAGTTGTAAAAACTAGTCTTACTTTTATATTATCTTTACAATATTTTAAATGTATTTAATTAATTGATGATGAAATGTATTTGAAAATTTTCCAATATAAGGGAGTTTAAAGTAATGTATATCAGATGGTTTTTCAGATGACATGTTTTCTTTAGGAGAGATAAGATTGTTTAGTAAACTTTTGAAGGTTTTGTCAATTAAGTTGTAGAGAGAAGAGTTTTATTGGAGAGTTTGTTTAATCTTTACAATATGAAAACTTTCTGTTTTTTGAAGGCTCTTTAGATCAGAGTTTTAACTCATAATTAATATTAGTGAAACTTTTAAAATTTGTTTGTAAAACTGTGTATTTTTTTTTTGTAAAATGTTGAAGTATTTAATTTATAATTTACAGAGTTATTAATTATATCAATAAAGCTCAATTTGCCATCAACCAGGGTAACTTAGTAAACTTAGTAAACTTAAGAACAGTCACAGTAAAGGAATAAGACTTCATTGAATGATGCATAACATGAGAATGAATTTTAGTATATGGGACAAGAGACACTAGCGCCTATCATAGTATTTGTAGAAAAGAGAAAGAGAAGCATAATTAAGAGGATGTGGCAATGATTGAAGTTTGGCTGCAAGAACAGGTCCAACTACGTTTACGCTTTTGCACCTTGTCTAAAAGAGAAAGGGTATCATTGGAAGATCCATCTTAGATATGGCAACTATTCCATAAAAGTACGGACAAATTCAGAAGTATAAAGGTGGCAAGGACGATAAGAAGATGCATGCTAATTTATTTTGAAATGGATTTGATATATGGTTTTTGAGAATAATCAGAAGTAAGAGTTAATTCTAGTAGCAAAAGTGTAGTTGATTCATCAAGTATATTACTGTTTATAAATATAGGAAGATCTCGATTATTGTTATAACGATTAGCTAAAAACTATTGAGTCTCATCTGAGTTAAAGTTCACCAGCCATTGAGTAGCAGAAGTAAGATCCTAGCACTGACTAAAATCTAAAATCCATGCATTGAGTCTTGAGGTTCCAGCATTCAATGTCCTAAATTGGAAACAATGTATTGCAAATTCATCTACGCCAGCCTAATAGATGAAGACGGGTGCGAAGCTGGTCAACATAGAATATGTTACCTCTTTGTCTTTGCCTAGGAGGCTTTCTACTAGACAGTAGCTGGATGCATTAAATGTCTGCCCAAGGTGAGTTTTTATCGAGACACTTTTATCTCTAGCTTTTACTCAACCAAGAGCTCCACAAGTGTTTTTTTATATCAGAGTTGGCTCCTCCTAGCCTTTGCCTGAAAAAACTAGGAGATATTTGTATCCTATATAGGTTAGGATACAAATATGTTGCATGGTAGGAACATGTTACCATGTTGGCTTCATTGAGCTAGACAAGATGCGATAGTTGTTATGCTATGTGTAACATAGGTTAGGAGGACCTGAGGCATAGTCAATAGGGTATACCATAAACTAGTATAGTTCTCCTTTGCTAAACTGTTTGCCAGCTTTTCTTCATTTTTGATATCTTCTTGTTTTTTTTAAAGTGACAAATGGCATATTTATATGAAGCTCTTTTTAAAGCATTAAATAAAAGCATTTTCAAAGAGATTAAAGATTTTTGTAAAGCTTGTCATAAACAGAATGCGTATTTAGCAGTCTTATGAGCTTACATAATCCGGACAGTTTTGTATATGTTGATTTTTATTACTTCATTTAAAAGTATTAAGACACTAACATTGAAATTGAGTAGGACAGACATTGCTTATATTGTACAGCCAATTAATCTGCTTAATATACTCGTGTAAATTACAATGGAGATTTCTACCTCAATCTTATTCATTAACTACCTCTATCTACTACTTATCTATTCATTACTACTACTTATCTTATTCATTAACTACCTCTATCTACTACTACTATCTTATTCGTGTTATTTCAATATATTGAATTGGGTGAGCAATAGAGCTGAATGAGATATCAATTTTAAATAAGTCAGATAAACTGGTTGACTAAATTATAATGAAGTTAAAAACAAAACATCAAGAACTTTAAAGAACAAGGCAGCAATCAATTCAACAAGTTTACAAAAGTAAAGAAATATTTAGAAAAAAAGCTATTAGCTATGACAAGATGTTTATCATTAAAAAAATAATCATATAATGGTAATCAAGGATCACAATTTAATTTTTATAAACTGTTATTTCATTTATATAGTTTTATGTAGTTTTTATAAGCATGCTGTCAATCTGTGCAGGGAATCTAGTTAAGTCTCAATTTATTAGAATACTTCATTCTGTTTAGTTTAAGGGTTAAGAAACGAGATAGTGTATCCTATATAGTAGTAGAACATATAATTTCAATTTTTAGTTATCTGGCAGGATTTAAGTTCAACGGATTTAACTAGGATCTATTTTTTAGTAGATTTAATTAGGATGTATCTTTAGGTCGATTAGGCCATTTTGAAATAATTAACTTATCGGGTGCCCTTACCACTTTAACGTTACCTAAAAAAGTCTGGGTTGATCCCTTTTGTTTGTAAACCAGGTAATGTGGGCTCTTAATGTACTTTTAATATACTGTTTTATAATTAGTTGCTGTTAAGTTCAATTGAAGCACAGAAGTTGCACAAAAAACAAAATAGAAATGGATTGTGGGAATAACAGTCGAATATATTCTCCAAAATTCGCTACCAACGATAATCCACCTGAGTTGGACGCTATATTTGTTACTCGGTTTAAAAAATGTTTCTTTGTACTTAGCGGTTTGCTTTTATATAAAAAAACTTTTTCTGTTGTTTATTATTATAATTATGAGAAGAAAATCTGGGAATCTTATAAGTTGCCCAGTGAATAGTCTGGTACCCATTTAAACCCTAATTGCGTATCCGGCGAGGATAGCAAATGGTTACTCATTTGGATACCGTATCTGCGCACATATGGTCCCCCTTACCCTAAGTATTGTAAAATTTACTTGTGAATAGTTAATGGCAGCAACTAGGTATTTTAACTTTTTTTTACGCTTGAGAATATATTATTTTTCATCATCATTTAAGAACATATCATTTTTAAACATGAACTCAAAAGGAATACGGAATGTGTTTAGACTTTAAAATCAAACTAATACAAAACGTTGTTTGGTGTTTTCTTTTGTGTAGTTGTGCAACTTTTTTGATAGTGTGACACTACTAATCTTGTGGAGCCTGAGCCGTGGAGTCACTGTATTTTAGAGGAGCCACAAAAATGTAGCTGCTCCTGCGTTTTTTTAAAAATAAGCAAACTTTACTGTTTAATTAAGCAAGAGATTGATGTTTGAGAAAAAAAAATTCTAAAAAATTTTTTTTTTACAGCTTTACAATCCTGGACACTACTATGCACAATCCTGAACACTTCTATAAGTATATAAAAAAAACTCCTTTTCAATTTCAATTTAGATGTTTTGCAGTTTATGACGTATAATTCATTGTTAGATGCTATACAGACATACAAAGAAGAAATGATTACAAAGTATCGTGTCGCAAAGGAATCAAAAGATTTTTCAAAAGATGGTAAGCTCAAATAAATAAAGTTTATTTCTGACCTACACTAAATCTAAAGGGTTCTTCGGGGTTCTTTGCCAGTTCTTTGAAGAACCTAAAGGTTCTTGGAGAAATTTTAAAGTTCTTTAAAGAAACTTTGGGTTCCTAATATCCTTTAATGGTTCTTTGAAGAACCGGCGGCTTATTCACAAAGTAATACAAAAAACCAACAAGGATCTACTAATCGCTTTACAGAAACCCTTGAAGAACCTTAATTTAGGGTTTTTCAAATCTTTTATAAACGCTGTTTTATTTTTCTAAGAGGTTGTTAACTTTTTTTATATAAGTAGACTAGTATGAATTAAAAAGAGTGATATAGTAACAATAGAAAATGATAATCATGACAATATTTGATTTGTGCTTTAAACATTTGAGATGTTTTTATTAACGTTGTTACCATCAACAACGATTATAAAAGTAACATATTTTTTTTTGTTTTTTTTTTCGAGCATTTTTCTTATTCCTATATGCTTTGATCATGCGAATTTTATTATTGCGAATGGGTTTATTTAGATAAACAAATATATCATTTGTTAAAATTTAAAAAATGACAGCTTATTTGAACTGGAGTATAGAGGATGTTTGCTTACACCTAAAACTTAAAGAACTTAGAACTTAGAACAATATATATATATATATATATATATATATATATATATATATATATATATATATATATATATATATATATATATATATATATATATATATATATATATATATATATATATATATATATATATATATATATATATATATATATATATATATATATATATATATATATATATATATATATATATATATATATATATATATATATATATTCCCACAGTTTGAAAATTTTAGACTCTAATACCAAAAACAACTCCTATGAAAACTCTTTTGAGGGGTGTTAGTACATATGATAGGGATCTCATAACAAGTAATTTTGAAATCAGGGATTACCTTCCGCAAGACTTATTTGACTTTATTAGTTTTATCTTAATGAAACGCTGTGACTTTTACTGAAAATTTTTTCTGACACAAGTTTACACAACTTTTCCAAATATAACAAGTATCAAAAGGTTAATAAAGTGTTACTTGATGGTATTTGGTGTATTTTAAAACACCAGTGTGATTTTTTTATATTCTTATCACCAAAATAATGTCAACCAAATTACGGCGATTATTTTCCGGGAAAGGGCTGCATAAATATCATAGTTTTGAAAAAAAATTCGTAGAATGTGCATCAAAAATGCCCAATTCAGCAAAAACCTATGAGGATTGTCAAAAATCTGTGTGCATTATCTGCATGAAGAAAGGAGACCAAGTTCTGACAGACTTTTTAAAGCAAAGGATTCAGCGCCTCATCAAGAATGATCTGAGCTTCAATGACTGCAGAGTTCCTCTTGCCTCATGTCAGACATGTCGTTTTAAACTGAAAAAGTTTGAAGATAGGGATCCTAAGATGTGTAAACCAAGATTTACAGGTTTGAAGACATCCAAATAAAACCGGCAACTCGAAGTTCAAACACCTGTGATTGTTTGATCTGCCAAATTGGGAGGCTCAAAGGTAAAGAAACTCACCCACTTGAGCAAAAAGACCAGCCTGCAACAACCAGTCAGCCACCTAAAAGTTCAGAAAAATGTTGTACAAAATGTTTGTCTGTTCTCTCACGAGGCCTTTCTCATCATTGCACAATTGGTTCACGCCATGAAAACTTGAAGCAACTGGTATTGTCAGATCCTAAAGGAGCTGAACAAGTTGCATCTTCCATTGTTGCATCTAAGGAAGCATCTCATGGAGGAACAATTCGACGTGGGGTGCATTTTCCAATCAGAAAAGGTAAAATGTATACTTACCACATTCTTCTTTAGAGAATGCTAATAGGTTTCGTTTTATTAGGTGGTGTTGTTGCTCAAGAGCTTTTTCCTTCCAGATTTTCAACAGGGGATATGGTTCAAATTCAACAGAATAAAGGATTGTCTAACAATGGAATGAGGAAACTTGGATCGTTCATCAATCATATCAGCCCAACAAGATTAGTTGAACCAAACTTTCAAAAAAAGTTTGCTGAGTCTGGACAAAAATTGCAGGACTTTTTTACTGTCAGCAGCTTTTTTACTGTCAGAAGATTTCGCATTCTGGAGAAAACAGGGTTCTGGTTCATTGCAAAAGCATTAAGGACTTGAAAGACAGGATTAAAGAAGAAATTGGGTCCTCAAAGACTGCCTTTGCAAAGATAGGTATTGATGGAGGAGGGTCATTCTTAAAAGTGAGCATTGGAGTTATTGATGAGGAAGAAAACAACCTAGAGCCTCACAGTCCTGTCCAAAAATCTGCAAAACTCACGACACAAGTCTCAAAGCAAACTAGTGTGAAAAAGCAATTTCTTGTGGCTGTTGCTGATGACACTCCTGAAAATTATTGGAATGTGCAAGAGATTTTTCGACTCATCAAGCTTCAAAAATTAATCCCATCAGAAGCTGCAGTAATTTCTTGCAATATGAAACTTGCAAACACTATTTGTGGCATCCAGTCTCATTGCAGCAAGCACCCTTGATGTTGGTGTGATATTGAGTCTTCAAAGCTTCTTCTGTGTGTGAATCCCCGATCCTTTGGAGCTATAAGAGCTCAACATCAAAGCTTTGTGGGTAGTGGCGGAGATGTAAGAAGATCCAAGGAGTTCCAAAATGCTGTCCACAGTCCTTTAATCTTTGGTCCTGATCAAGCACTGATTTTGGAGTTCATCCCACCTATGGAGCTTCACCTTCTGCTAGGGGTGGTCAACCATCTGTTCAAATGCTTAGTGTAAAAATGGCCAAAGGCCACAGAATGGCCAACTTCATTGCACATCAAGATTCAGCCTTTTCATGGAGGGCACTTCAATGGCAATGACTGCATGAAGCTTCTGAGGAAAATTGACAAATTGGCTGAAATGGCTGAAAATGAGAGCACTTCTGAGCCATCTTAATTCATTCAGACATTGAAAGACTTTCATGAAGTTCTCTCTGCATGCTTTGGAAAAACTTTACATCCCAACTATGAGGAGAAAATCACCATCTTCAAAAACAGTTACATGAGTTTGGGAATCTCTGTTACTCCAAAGGTTTACACTGTTTTCCACCATGTGACACAGTTCATCAAGCTGAAAAAGAAAAGCCTTGGTCTATACAGTGAACAAGCCACTGAAACACTGCATTCGGATTTTGGCAAGCATTGGGAGCGATACAAAAGATTGAACACCCATCCAGACTACTCCAGTCAACTCCTGAAGTGTGTCATTGATTATAACAGCAAGAAAACGTAGAGTAGCTTGCTATAAGGCACTGACTATCAATGAACATGTTGCATTTTTGAGAATTTATTAGTTTATTTTTAGAATGTATTTATTTTGTAATAAATAAATGTTTTAAGATGTATTTTTATCATTTGTTACCTTTTTACTTCATAATATGGTAATTTAGGGCAGCCATATATTTTTGGAGGAATTTTGCAATTTTTCAGGTTTCGTAATTTAAAAGCAAAAACTTCAATGTTGAATAAGTCTTGCGGAAGGTAATCCCGGATTTCAAAATTACTTGTTATGAGATCCCTATGATATGTACTAACACCCCTCAAAAGGGTTTTCATAGGAGTTGTTTTTGGTATTAGGGTTTAAAATTTTCAAACTGTGTTCCAATATTGAATTTTAGATAATTCTTCAAACGACTGCGACTTCAGAAATCTCACGTTAATTCGTACATCTAATTTCAAGGAAAAACATTTATATATTGGACAATGGATTTAACACTAGAAAACTTTTTTTTATAATTGATGACATATTTTTATAAACATAGACATATTGGATTGTAAAATAAAGTTTATTTTTGTTATTTGTTTGAAAGAATTTATATAAATTGTTTAAAAATAGTTTTTTTTTCTTTATTGCCATATGTTGAAATATATGTTAAATATTTAGGAAAGTCGTTGTTTACAATTTTATTTTCGACCTTAAGCAACTAGCTTAAATATCTTAAATAATTATAATTAACTATTAAAAATCTATTAAATGATTATATATTGTATAATATATAATATAAAAAATGTTCAAGAAGTCAAAAAAGTATCCTTGTAACGAAGTAATTATGCAAAAACATTGAACGGTTCGATGAAGAACTATAACGTGTTCTTTAAAGAACTTTATTTTAAGGTTCTTCCGAAGAACCTTTGCAAAGGGTTCTTCAAAGGTTCTTTGAAGAACCTCTACGAGTGTTCCACCAGCGTCAACGCGAAGAACCCTTGAAGGTTCTTTGAAGAACCATTCGAAGAAGGTTCTTTGAAGAACCATTTATATCGTATCTACATTCATGTAGATACGATATAAATGAAATGATTATTATTAGATTAGTAGCCGTGGTGCAGTGGTTAAAGCAACCAAAGGTTGCGGGTTTGAACCCGCTCGAAGCATTTAAACGTTATCGGTGAAGTTGGAAACGAAGAGTCGTTTTTTATTTATTTTAAAACATTTGCTAATTTGAAAACTTTAAATGTTACGAAGCGCTTTTAAATCTATTGTTAGTTTACCTGTTAAAAAAAAGAATTAAATTTACACAAGTAAAAATTTACGCAGAACTTCTTTTTTTAAACTCTTTACAATAAATTTGTTTTGTTGTTAATTTAAAATATTATCACTACTTTTACATCGTAAAACGTAATGGCCATGAATAAGTTCGCAATGGCTATGATTTGGTATTTTTTACGCCTTGTAACATTTGTGCTAAAACTTTTTAATTTATTATCAAAAATTTCCAAACTTATCATAAAATGACAAGTTTGGAAATTTTTGATGATCTCGAGAGGTTTTTTAAAAGTATAGAAATATTTTCAAGAGTCTTAGCCAATTGCGGTAACATATGAAGCAGTTTAAAATTAAGTGGCCTAGATTTGGTGGTTTTACCCTAAAAAAGTTTATTTAAAATTAGAGACCGTTGTTTTAAGTGCATTTTTAGTACTTAAATCATTTTTAAACATTGCACTTTGTTAGTTTTGTTTATTGTTATTCAATATTTTTATTAAATAGCACCGTTATTTAAGTGTAAGATAAATTTAATATGGCTTTTTTAATAATAATAAGGCTTCAATGTCATTTAGAAAACTAAATCGTCGAGGATAGTACAAAACCGCGTAACTAGCATTGGATAATACGGCGTATCTACGGTACGTTTTTTTTACTGGAGAAGTTTAAAACTTTATATATTTTTTATTTTAACTGGTTTTGGGTTCATTTTAGTATAAAGGGTATTATTCATGTTTTTTGTAATCTTAACAATAAATATTTGGTGTTAAAATTAATAATATCCAAATATCCTAGTAAGTTACGCGGATTTGCACTACCCCTACGAAATATTTACTATTGTTTTTATCTATCTTGCTTTTTAATCTTTTATCTACCTTGCTATTAAAAATACGCAAACAAAAATAATCGTTCCGTATGTGATATGATCTAAACACAACATGCTTAATGCAGTGATCTAAACACAATAAGTGATCTAAACACAATATGCTTAATGCAGTGAATTTTGTGATTCAACAAAAAATGAGTTTAAGTAAAGCTGCAAGACATTGCAACATTAAAAAATCATCTTTGATATACCAGTTAAAGCAATTTAAAAAATCTGGTAGCTGCGAATATTTATATTCGCATACCAAACCAAAAAAAATATTCTCAACAGAAGAAGAATTAATATTGGTAAACTACTTGGTAGATGCTGCAAATATGCATTATGGACTAACATTAAAGCAGATAAGGTCCTTTGCATACGAGTATGCTTAAGAAAATCATAAAAAAGTTGAAACTTCATGGATAAAAAATAAATGTGCAGGTGAACAATGGCTACGAGATTTTCGCAAAAGATATAATAACAAGCTATCTCTACGTAAACCACAACCTACAAGTCTTGGTAGATCTTCTGCATTCAATAGAGAAACCGTAAAAATTGTATATAAAAATTACAAAAATGTTTTAGAACGTTATCATTTTGATCCATCAAATATTTGGAACTGTGATGAAACAGGAATTACCACAGTTCACGTACCACCAAAAATTCTAGCTCCAAAAAGCAAAAAACAAATAGGGAGCATGACTAGTGCTGAACGAGGCAATAATGTAACAATGATTGCAGCCATTAATGCTACTGGAAATAGCATCCCACCATTACTTGTATTTCCACGTGCTAAATTCAAAGATCACATGTTAAATAATTGTCCTCCTGGAAGTGTAGGAGCAGCTAATAAGTCCGGATGGTCAAATGAAGTCATTTTTCTGCAATTTCTTGAACATTTTATTAATAATGTGCGACCATCAATTGAAAAACCTGTTCTTTTATTAATGGATAATCATGAGAGTCATGTTATTGAGTTAGCAAAAAAATCACACATAGTTTTTATGACATTTCATCCTCACACAACCCATAAAATGCAACCTCTTGATTGTGGTGTTTTTGGACCATTTAAAACTTTTTATAATAATGCCATGAATAACTGGATGATATCACCAGGTAATGCTGGTAAACCAGTTACAATTTATGATATATCTTACCTTGTTGGTCAAGCTTATCCTCATGCTTTTGTACCAAATAATATTATAAACAGTTTTAAATGTACTGGATTTTATCCATTTAATGAAAATATTTTTACTGATATTGACTTTTTAGCTGCAAATGTTACGAATAGGCCAATAGTGAATACTGAAGCTTCAATTTCTAAGGAAAGTATTAATGTTAAAACTGCTCAATCCAGTTTACCATCAACATCATCTATTGTTTTAGGGGAAATCCCTATTGTGAGTTTACCATCAAAATTATTTATTGTTTCACCTGAGATAATACGACCTCATCCTAAAGCCAAATTAAGAAAAACAAATACTTCACAAAGACGTAAGGGAAAATCACGTATTTTAACTGATACACCTGAAATTAAAGTTATTTTAGATGCAAAATCTAATAACCAACAATTTAAAAAGTCCTCTTCAAGCAAAAGAAAAAAAATGGCAAAACAGAATATTTTTAGTCAGTCTGACATGTGTTTAAATAATGAAAGCTCTGATGAAATTGATTTTGGAGTAAATATACTTAATGATGAATCTGAAATTGTTTCTGGAAGTTTTTTAATTGTCAAGTTGGTCGGAAAGAAATACTCTAGACTTTATGTAGCAGAAGTTATAGAAGTTGTTGGTATAGTTTACAAAATTAAGTATCTTAAGAAATCAGGAGACTTTTGTAACAAATTTATAAGAGAAGATGACAATCTTTATGAAGTGGAACTTGAAGATATTATTATGAAACTTCCACCACCAAGTATTGGTGGTGGTTCATCTAAACGTCAGTATCTTATATTTGATGTTGATCTGACTATTTGTAATAATTAATATATTATACTCTTTTATTATTGGTTTTTTTTGTTGTTGTCACCATCAAAAAATTTCCTTTAAAAAGCATTATGATCATATGTAAATGAATATAGACCGCCAGCTGATATCAGTTATAAAAATCTATTTTTGCTCTTTTCTTATCTTAAATAATAAAAATAACTATAGATATTAGAAAATATATTTTGTACAACTAAATCGCATTTAAAGTTTAACCCTAAATATTTCATGTAAGTAGCATCTAACCCTAAATATTTCATGTAAGTAGCATCTAACTGAAAAAAGTATGTGACACTATCTAAATAGTTATAATAATTGATTTTATTTTAAAAAATTAGTAACACTATTAGTAATACTGACTATCGTAACTTCGATAAACGAGTCTTGGCAATATTGTAAGGATTTTTTTAGACAATTAGAATTGGTTACAAAATAATAAGATTTGTTTTTTTATTGACAAAGGTAGGCCAGAAGTTGCTATATAACATATAACAAGCTAAAATATTAAAGAGGTTCAAACATTGCATGATTTTTTAATAATAACAGTTCGGTCAAAGGTACAACGCACATCGGTCAAAGGTACAACATATGTGTTGTACCTTTGACCAATAGACTTCTTTTATTAAAACGCGGGAAAAAGATACTTCTTATTCGAATGAAAAAAAAGTCCTAAGTATATTTTTTTGGCAAAATATGAGAGAATATTATATAGTTTAAATGGTTTAAGTTTACTCAATAGACTACGCAAAAAACGCCTTAAAGCAAAAAGTGGTCAAAGGTACAACAGGTTCCCCTACACTTTTCGCGGAGATGATTTCTTCTGGTAGTTTATTCCACCATTTTGCAACTCTATTTGTAAAAAAATTTTCCCTTGGTCTGTTTCTTTTTATCAGCTCAATATCTACACGTGCTTTATGTTCTCTAATGTTTGAAGCTGGACCATTTGCTGAAATTGAAATTTGCTTGTTTTGGTTGTTGATACCAACACACTTTGTCCAAATTATGAAATATTTTATAATATTGAATTAAATCATATCTTAATCTCCTGATTTTTAAAGAAGTCAGTTGGAGTTTTTTTAACCTTTCTTCATAGGGTAGGTGTCTTAACTTTGGAATCAACTTTGTTGCTCGTTGTTGAACAATTTCTAATTTATGTATGTCATTTTTATTATAAGGGTTCTATATTGGTGATGCGTATTCAAGAATAGGTCTTACAAAAGTGCAATTGTAAAAAGACTTTTATATTAAAAAGAATTACATAAAAGTAATAGGCGACCAAATATAAATAAAATTTACTTATAAAATAATATTATATAAATTGTCATTTTTCATTTTGTAAGTAAAAAAAAATTGATGTAAAAAATAAATTATTTAAAGAAAAAATTCTATTGAAACTTTCTATTAAAAAATCTAATTCTATTATTCTACA